CCTATTCACCTTACCCCCCAGAGTTAGGTAAGTCCATACATACCTTTTTCATCTCCGTGCGTGCTATAAGTCTGTTTGACGCACCCACCGCTAGCCTAGCTTAGCACAAAGACTGGATGTGAATGGTTGCAACTTTCATACTAATCCAAATGAGTGGCAAAATAACGCAAACGTTTTCCTATTTACATGTTGTGATTTGTATAGTCACAGACTGTACAAATAACAAAGTCAAATGAGACACAGACATCTTTTAACCGTATAAAACCTGGGAACTATTCTCTGAAGGCGAAGCACTGCTACTTTGACGGAGTGATAACCGCATCACCGGAGACACGCCGTGGTGAGGAGCGGAGAGTTCGCTCAGTGTTTGGGTAACAGAGTCAGCAATTTATAAATAGTAAAAGCGTAGTTTAGAGTCATGGGTTTTCGCTCTATTGTAAATAGCTGCGACAGTAAACAGGGGAGGTAACACCATGTTTCACAGAATTCCAACTAAAAACGCTGACTGGATGAAGAAATGGCCAACTTACTTACTCTGGATATTTATCCAAACACACCTAAATAGATTATCAAGGGACATTATGTTTGCTCGGTACATTTCAATGGACGACTATATTGAAAAAATGGAATTTGCCACACGGACCATAATGTGCTGAAGGATACGGCTATCCCATCGATAGCACAGACAGGACAAGTGGATCACCTGCGGCTGAGGTAAGTGTTCCGTTATGTTTTTAGATGACCTACTGTAACAGTGCCTTTAGCCAGAGCTAATGTAACGTTAGTGACACTATTATATGATTAGGGTATGAATATGTTTTTATCTTGATGCGGTGCGGACGCGCTTGGAAAAAAAACGAGCGCGTTCACCGCGTTGAACTTGCACCCTGCGCGCGGCGCGCCTAGTAGCCTAAATTTGAAATAACCATGGAAATAACGAACTTGAGCGTGCAAAAGGGTACGATAGGCTGTGAGTTTATTGTGCAAAAACAATTTGTGCTATTACTTTCCCCTTATTCTATCATATAGTAATGCAATTATACTGTATATTATATAGGCTACTGTTGAATACATTTGGTTCAGCTAATAAATTGCATTTAAAATATATTGATTCCTGTAAAAATAATTATTTATTCATGTGATATTTATAAATCTGGGTGCGTTTTTGGTTGGAAATCAATGAAACATGGTACTGTATTACCTGGTCTCCCCTGTTTATTGTCACAGCTCATACAATAAAGCAAACACCCATGATAAACTATGCTTTTCTATCTAACGTTAGTAATTGCTGACTCTTTACTCCAACACTGAGCGAACTCTCTGCTCCTCGTCACGGTGCGTCTCAGGTAAGGGTTATCACTCTGCCCAAGTAGCAGTGCTTCGCCTTCAGAAAATATAGTATTTATACGTTCAAAAGATGTCTGTGTCTCATATGGCCTTGATATTTGCACACTCTGTGACTATACAAACCACAACATGTAAATAGGAAAACGTTTGCGTTATTTTGTCACTCATTTGGATTAGTATGAAAGCTGCAACCATTCACATCCAGTCTTTGTGCTAAGCTAGGCTAGCGGTGGGTGCGTCAAACAGACTTATAGCACGCACGGAGATGAAAAAGGTATGTATGGACTTACCTAACTCTGGGGGGTAAGGTGAATAGGCTAAAGTCCCAAAAAGTCGGAGTGTTCCTTTAAAGGAGTAGTTCACTTTTAAAAAAAAACTTTTGCTGATAATTTACTCATTTTGTTTTTGATGAAAACATTCCAGGATTTTTCTCCATATAATGGACTTTACTGGTAACCAAATGGATCAAGGTCCAAAAAACAGTTTCACTGTAAACTGTTCAAAGGGCTTTAAACAATTTCAGGTGATGAATAAGGCTCTTATCAAGAGAAACGATTGGTCATTTAAAAAAAAAAAAATAAAGTTTAAGTTTTATAAGCTCATGGTCGCCGTGCTCTGTTCTTTGACGCACGTTTGTGACTCTCCTGTTCGAACTCGTTCATCAAAATGAACGAATCTTTTTCCGAGTCAATTTGTTCATTCCGTTCGTTGAATGAACCAAATGACACGAAAAAAGATTTGTTCATTTTGATAAACGAATTCGAATAGGAGAGTCACAAACGCGCATCACAGAACAGAGCACGCCGACCATGAGCTTATAAAACTTAAACTTTGTTATTATTTATTTTAAAAGAGTGATCGTTTCGCTTAATAAGACCCTTATACATCGTCTGGAATCGTTTAAAGCCCTTTGAACAGTTTGCACTGAAACTGTCTTTTGGACCTTGAACCGTTTGGTCACCACTGAAGTCCATTATATGGAAAAAAATGCTGGAATGTTTTTATCAAAAACCTTAATTTTTTTCGACTGAAGAAAGAAAGACACGGACATCTTGGATGACATGGGGGTGAGTAAAATATCAGCAAAAGTCTTTTTAAAACTGAACTACTCCTTTAAAACTATTTACCTGGCTCTATTTGTTTACCACTAGCGCATGCTGATTATGTTTTATACTTCTATACTAACTTGCGTTGATGCCTACGATTCAACAGGTGTCATCATCGTACAGTCTACATACATGTCATACCCAAGTTTATTAGATCCATGTAGATCCAGGTGTGATTTGTAATGATCTTATAGGACTACTAAAGGCATAATGCATAAGGTAAAGGCACAAGTCTGATTTAACACCATAACAATCTCAAAGGGATCATCCACTGCACAGAGAAGTTTAATTAACAGCGTATCCAAAGATTTTTTCAACTTCTACATTAAGAAGTCATCATGTAATCAGTTCAAATTCCTTCGGTATTATCGCCCATAACCATTTGGACACATGGTGACAATCACTTCCACTGTAAAAGCAAATGAGCTATAGGGCCTAAAACGTGTCAAATTGGTCTTTTGTTAAATAAATGTGGCAGGAATACTAACACAATAACTAATACTACTAATACTAGAGTTAAGAATTATACTGGACCACAGGGAATCAATCAGACTTTGAATAATTGTAATTGATATGCCATTTTTGGTCTGGCCATGTTTAAATGGATATTAATATGGAAGACACACTTCTTCACAATTTTCAATAAAACAATCCAAGTTCAGAATATACAGTCCTAAATCAAACCCTGCTGACAGTAAACTTGCACAAGCAATGATAAGATAACAGGTTTTTCTCCATTATTAGTCAATGTTATAGTGATGACAAACACATTAGTCAAACAAGTGCCGGTTGCATAAAATGCTTAGCCTATTCGACTTGTCATAACTTTTTAAAGTCAGTTACATGAAAATGTAGATTGGTCTAATTTGAATCTGAAACTTAAGAGTGATAACTAACTGCTAGTTATTTAAGGGATAATTATCCAAAAAATAAAAATTCTGTCATTAATTACTAACCCCAATCTTCCGAACACAAAATAAGATTAATGTTCTGACGTAGAACCTGTAAGCGCTGCATTGTGTTTATTACGTGAACAGAGTAGCAGACTGAGATTGAAGAGAAGAGACTGTTGAATAAAGTGGGGTTTTTTGCTCACAAAAAGTGCTCTCGTCACTTCATAACATTAAGGTTGAACCGCTGGAGTCACATGGACTATTTTAATGATGTCTTTAATACCTTTCTGGGCCTTGATATTGGTTATAATAGGTCAGAAAAGCTCTCGGATTTCTTCTAAAATATCTTAATTTGTGTTCCGAAAATGGACGAAGGTCTAGCGGGTTTGGAATGACATGAGGCGGAGTAAATAATGACCAAATTTTCATTGTTGGGTGAGCTAATCCTTTATGACACACTATGTCTTAACTTAGCAGCTATGTTTACGCAGTTGGCCCAGCGCTAGTTTCAAAATGTTAAATACCAGCAAGTATTTTATTCAAGGCTTCGGGACCAAACTACAAATGTCTGCTTAAACATACTGTACTTTCCTAGAGTTCCTGTATTAATTATGGTTATGCAACTAAGATATTGATTACAATAACCTCACGGCTTGCTACTTATGACATCGCATTCGCAACTATTAATTATAGGGGGATTCCTGTTATGTACTTGATGTGGTTACCTGGATTGATTTATAAAGATTTTTAAATTCATACTTTGAACGTGGGATCCTCTGTTGTGTTTAGTGTACAAAAAATATCTAAATTATTGGTGGTGGATGCCATTAATGTGGTTAAAAGGGTTGTACTGAATGTGGATAATTGTTGGATAATAAATGTGGATAAAAATACAATCTTGCTGACGTCAATATAATAGTTTAAATAGTGGGTGGAGTATTAGATTATCTAACATACTGAAGAGGCCTGCGAGTCGAAACGTGTTATTCCTTATGAATAATGTAAAATAAAGTAAAAAAAAAAAAAAAAAATCTAATTCTGAGAGATGATCAGAGCTGTATTTTTAAGTGAACTGAAATTAAATACAAAAATTCAACTAAACGAAAATTTGAAATGTTGCCTTGGCAAGTAACAGAAATAAGTTTAAGCTCAAGCACTAAAATGACTAACTTGAGATAAATAAATACTAAAACTTTAAATGTCAAAAAAAAATGTTTTTATTATTCAAACTAAAGAAAATTCACAGTTGTTAACAACTATAATATATGACCAGTGTTTGGAGGGGCATGATAATTTTAAAGAATGACATCATGCACTGATGACTTTATTAAGAAATGTCACTTATAATTTCATGTTGACTTCACAAGCTTCAGGGAAGCAACCTCCCAAAAAATGTGTGTGGAAGAAAGAGAAGAGAGAGAATAACAGAGAAGAAAGAACGCCAACAACTGACCTTGACAGTCAGTGGAGGAGAGAAAGGCCCATGGGGAGAGAGGATGCATGTTTTCCAACCTGATAAGAGCGGGACTAATTAATTAAAAATAGATAGAGATTTGAAAGTGACATCACTGCTGATACACGTCCCTCCTTGCTACACCTGATGAGAACCTCCCTGATAGCGACAATGATGTGACACCGACAAAAACTGACCAACCTTTTTTAAACTCCTCCAGCATGGAATCCAACTTGGTGTCGTGAAACACAAAATGGACCGGATGGTTGTAGAACTTAGTAATGGTCTTCAACGTAGTGCAGTCATCCGGATCCACAAACGCCAGGTCTTTCACAAAGAGGATGTCCATGATATTGGTCCGTTCGTCCTCATAAACGGGAATGCGCGTGTATCCGCTCTCCATGATCTCCGACATGGTGTTGAAGTCCAGGACAGCGTCGCTGTTGATCATGAAGCAGTGGCTGAGAGGAGTCATGATGTCCTCCACGGTCTTAGTCCTCAACTCCAGAGCTCCCTGGATCATGTTCATCTCCTCTTTCACCAGGTCATTGTACGGTTCGGTCACCTTAAGCATGCCCACCAGCTTCTCTCGGTTGTACACGGTGCCGATCTCCTGGCCTAGCACGCAGTCCAGGAGTTTGCTGATGGGGAAGGACAATGGAAAGGTCAGAAGCATGAAGAACTTGGTGATGTGGATGGTGTTGGCACCCACCGCCAAGCCGTGGCGAGAGCAGAGCGCCTGAGGAACGATCTCGCCGAAGATGACTATCCCGATGGTGGACGCCACCACAGCCCCCAGACCTGAGCCGATGAGATCATCGAGCAGGATGGTCAGCGTGGTGTTGACCAGCACGTTCCCGAGGAGAAGAGAGCACAGCAGGTAGTTTCCTTTCCTCCGTATGGGCTCGATCTTGCGTGCGTACTTCTTCTCTTTGTCAGTGCCACAACTCTGCACAATCCGCAGCTCCATGGGGTCCAAAGCCATGAGCCCCAGGTTTAGACCACTGAACATCCCTGAGAGCACCAGGAGGCAGGCTATCAAGATGATCTGGAACCAAATGGGAAGCAGCGACTTCTTCATCTCCACCACGCGCAACCTTCCATCATCTTCTTCCAGCAGGTACCACTTCCCATCTTGGCTGTGTCTGATGCACAGCGCATATTCCCTCTGGGACTCACTTTTCCTAAGTGCTTTAATTTGGACCCCCAGCACCCCAGAGGTGCCCTGGCTGTTGACATTCATACTTTTGCTGATGGAGATGTCTTTGGTGAAGTCAACACAAGTAGTGTTGATGTCAGAGCTCCTGCCCTCGCTCTGATCCACGAACTTAATCTGCTCCCAAGTGTCATTGCTGATCTGCAGTCCGTAGAACCTGAGCTGGATGTCGCTGTCCTCGGATACCTGTATGATCCCATCCTCGGTGGTCGTGGCAGGCTTGACGCTCCTCTCCAACCGCATGCCGAGGATCCGGCTGTCGCTCCCCCAGGATTCCGCTCTATTCGCATAGACTCTACTCCAAAAGAACAACATTAAAGTTAGCGTGTACCCTTTCCAACTGCATTCTGTCGCCATGTTTGTTTCACTCTGCGGAATGAGAGTTTACGTCACCTATTCATTTCTCACGACCACGCCCCTTCATTAACATAGCATCCGCGGAACTCCAATCAGCGAGTGGTTCGTCACCTTATAAGGAAGAACGAGCCTTCTTGGGTTTGGTTGTTAAGGAAGACCGCTTTTTCAGTGCTGTTAAGGTGGAACGGTTTGTTTTTACTGCCCCAAACACTCATTACGTCTGAAAATATGAGATAATACCGCCGTCTAAAAAAAAGAAGGCCTTTTTTTTACGGAAAATATTACTTACATAGACCAAGGACGCATTAAACTGATCAAAGCAAAAATGACATAATTATAATGTTACAAAAGACTTCCGTTTCAAATAAATGATGTGCTTTTGAACTTTAAGTGAACTGTTTCAACATTGATAATAATAAGAAATGTTTCTTGAGCACCAAATCAACACATTGATTTTTGAAGGATCTGTGAATTCAGCTTTGCTATCACAGGGTGGAAAATAGATTATAAAATTGATTAAAATAGTAATAGCAATAATGTTTCATAATATTACTGTTTGATGAGTACTTCTTTCTTACGACTCCAAACGTTTGAACGTTAATTAAAATATACGTTATTAATAATATTGCATTACACTATACTAATTAATATCACAATACAAAATATCTTTATTGTTTTAACAATCGTCGGATTTAAACGCATAAATTAACTTTATTTAAATAGTTTTAAATTAGTTTATATGGTAGCCTATATTATTTTTATGAGTTTTAAGTATAAATATATCTATGAGTATAAATATGTGTAAATGTTAAGGTGTGTGTATGTATATGTTTTTTAATGCTTTGGAATTGGAAGATTCCCGTTTTTACGGCGCCATCTAATGGACAGAGTTGTAACTGGCTTGATTCAAATGGATCAACATGCTTCACCAACAGATGAAGCCATCAGACCGGGAACAAATGAACACTACTACAACTTTGTGATATTAAAGGGATAGTTTATGGGCCCCATTGATTCCCACAGTATGTATTCCTCCAATTATGCAAGTCATTGGGTGCCATCAATTTTAAAATATCTTCTTTTGTGTTCAATAGAAGAATGAAACTTACTCAGCCTAACTATCCCTTTAACAGGGATTAATTTGCATGAATGTAAACTAACCTCTTTACAGGAATCAATCTCGCCATTAACCAAGCTTTAAGTAAATGTTCTTTATTCCAAACAATTTTAATTAGATTTAGTGTGTACATGGGAACTTGTTATGTTAGACACTCCTTTAAAAGTATGCATAAATAAAGGTCAGAAAGAAAAGAAAAAAAATGTGTTTGCTATTGTTTTGTATATATTTATTTAGTAAATTAACCAAAAATCAATACAATATCTCATGAATTTCATTAATATTAGAATGACATGCAAATCAGACAAAATACAATGTGGTCATCGTAGAAAGACATGAACAAAACAGACGCATGTTGCTGGAATCAAATACAGACACGTTACTGTAAACACAAGAACCTGAGGTAAAACTCATTACTAACCAAAAGTTTACAACATTAATTAGAATTAAAGGCAATCATAAGTTAAATTATAATAAAAAGAGATTTAAAAAAAAACAGCAACATCATACTCTGAATCAAGCCAAATGCTCTTTGTAAACAATATATTTCAAAAGGATCACAGATTGTGCATCAATAACACAAACAAATATATATAATAATTTAACCTCTTTCTAAATTCTGAGGAGAAAAAAAAGTGTTAAAGTGACTCATTATCTAAACTAAACTAATTATCAAAAGGGCTAAAATACCAACAAGGCAATTATAAAGAGATATTACACTTGATAAACCACAGTTCAATGAGAAATTCAATGATAACACTTCGTTAATATATGGCAAATCAACTTGATAAAAGCTGCATCTTAGAGAAACAAATGTAAAGAATAACACTGGCATTGAAGTCAGGATCCAGATGCGTTGATGGACAAATCACTAAAGCTCAAATTTCATCCCACCATTTGAATTGCGTGATTGGTCAGTTCAATTACACACTCTCCTCTTCCCAAGAGTAGCTTCATTATTGTATTTTATTAACTACAACAGATATACTGTATTCAGAGCAATGGTTTCTAAACAATCTCAATGTACTGGCGTGGCGGCTTGCTTGCTGCGATCATTCCTAACGCTCTGATTGGTTGACCTGACTAGGTAGGAGGACCTCCACTGTGAAGCTGACTGTTTTGGACTGGAAGATGCTGTACGTGTTGTCAAATCGCAGTACATCTGAGAAAATGAAGACAGTACAGGTAAATTCATGTGCATGTTTAATGTTTATCTCAGTTACTTTAGAGTAACTCTGTACTTACACACTCCTGGTTCTGGGCAAGTGAGCGATCCGTCCTCTGGAACAAGGTGAGCGTTGTAACGTTGATTCGGCACAATTTCCTTCATATCACTGGCCTTCATCCAATCTCCTATCTTCTTCTTCAAATAGACACCAAAACCTACATCGGCACCATCACATGAGAACTGCCATCTGAGGAAGAGAGCATTGAGTTGAGTATCAAACATGGACTCCAGACAAATTTCTGGTTGTATTGTAGTTGTTTTCCTCTAGTTTTTAGGACTAATAACATCTGGCAAAGCTATCAATGAAATTGATGTTGATTCATGTACACTGTCCCTTTTTGACTTTAAATAAATAAATGTTAAATTTGAAACTAACTTCATAAAGATTGTCAATTACATCATTACACCAGTAGGTGGCGACAAGTATCTTAAAATAATTATGAATAATTTTTTATTCAAGAGATTTGTTCAAAAATTCTGATTCATCCAGTAATGAAACAAATCGAAATTTGTTTCAAATTCATTCAATATTTTTAAATAGTACAGCAATTAAAATTTTGTTAGAACATCTAGTAAATTACGTTATTTTGTTTAGTTGTGGAAGAATCGCATGGGGTTAGTATGATTTTATTTGTACAAAGAAATTAATAGTTTTATTTAACAAGAAAGCATTAAAGGAGTAGTTCACTTTTTAAAAAAAACTTTTACTGATAATTTACTCACCCCCATGTCATCCATGTCTTTCTTTCTTCAGTCGAAAAGAAATAAAGGTTTTTGATGAAAACATTCCAGGATTTTTCTCCACAATAATGGACTTCATTGGGAACCAAACGGTTCAAGGTCCAAATGAGAGTTCCAGTGCAGCTTTAAAGGGTTTTAAACGACACCAGACGATAAATAAGGGTCTTATCAAGCGAAACGATCGGTCATTTAAAAAATAACGTTTTATAAGCACAAATGCTCACCTTGATCTGTTCTGTGATGTGCGTTCGTGACTCTCCTGTTCAAACTCATTCATCAAAATGAACGAATCTTTTTTCGAATCATGACACGAAAGGTCATAGATAAGACCCTTATTCATCGTCTGGTGTCATTTAAAGCCCTTTGAAGCTGCACTGAAACTCTCATTTGGACCTTGAACCGTTTGGTTCCCATTGAAGTCCATTATATGGAGAAAATCCTGGAATGTTTTCATCAAAAACCTTAATTTCTTTTCAACTAAAGAAAGAAAGACGTGGACATCTTGGGGGTGAGTAAATTATCAGCAGAATTTTTTTTTTTTAAAGTGAACTAGTCCTTTAAATCGATCAAAAGTGACAGTAAAGACTTTCTCTTTTAATAAATGAAATGATGAACCTCCTAATTATCAAAATGTTCTATAACTGTATAATGGTTTCCACAAAATTATGAAGCAGCACAACTGTATTCAACTGATAATAATAAGTATATTATCAGCATATTAGAATGATTTCAAAAGGATCATGTGAATCATCTGAAGACTGGAGTACTGTAATGATGATTACAGGAATAAATTACATTATTTAATTGCAAAAAGATTTCAAAATATTACTGTTTTCTGTATTCTCAATCAAATAAAAGCAGCCTTGGTGAGCATGAGTGACTTATTTCAAAAAGTATACTGTATATTAAACACAAAACTAGTGCACTATTCTAGTTCAAGGTCCAATTTAGTGGGAATAAGCACAAGCACGTGCATGTTGAATCCAGCAAGTTGCTGAAAGTATGTTTAATGTTTTGTTTACTAAATTAGACCACATCCTAACATCCAAACCTCAGCCCAACAAACCCAATATCATTAAACCAAATGCACATCTCATATGCAGAGAATGTTGCTGGTTAGCTAGGTTGGCTCTAGGTTGGGTTTGGTAGTCTAATATCAAGTGCTAAAAATACAGAACTTCACAAAGACACATATTTCAGTAATGTCTGTTTTATGCATGATTTTCTAAAAATAAATGATTTACAGCATCTTTAATGTCATAATCTGGTGGTTCATGGCAAACTCCAAATTTAATAGGCGTATCAGAAAGTGTTTTTGTACCTTAATGCACAGTTTGGGGCAAGTAGTTCATATTCCACCTGATGAGATGAGCCACGGCCAATGGTCACACACTGATCATAGTCCACTTTAATGGAGTCTCGAACATAGTAGGTCCTGGGAATCTCTGATCCATACGTAATCTACAAAAAACACAGAAACATTTGCTTAATATAATGCTTGTTTGAGATGAGTTGGTAATAATGAATCAGAATTGAAAATGGAGGATGAAACTTACAGAAGCATCATGAGTGCAAAAGATAAAAGCCTCATATATAAATGTTAGTATTTTATGAACGATGAGGAAACAGAAAGAAAAAAAAACAGACAGGAAAGCAGCCCAAATCAAAGTGGCTTTTAATAAGGAACACAAATTGCTTTTACAATCACTGTGTGAGACTTATTATCCTACATATAGGTTGAGTAGTCTACTCTGGAGCCTGAGGAGAAAAATATTGTCTCAATTTTTATTGTATTTTTTAATACAATTGTCAATGAATACAATAAGACAATAAATATCATAACATGACAAAAAAATCTGACACTTCGTTAAAAAAAAAAAGGTTAAGGTCATGTTGTCTGGAGTCGCAGACCCAAATATAGATGATGGTTGAGAAAAGGAGTCTCTCCAAATGATTCACTACTATTTTGATACACAGAAAAAAAGCACATTTAGACAAATAATCACTAACAATAGTATTAGATCACACAGCATATAAATTAAATCCCAATTCACATTCTTTACCTCTTATCGTATGCAAGATTAGTGAATCCAAATAATACGATACAAACGGTTTATGGATACTATGCAATTTCCATAACAATGTAGTATAAACTTCTGTTCAAACATTTGAAGTCAGTCAGCACATGATGCATTAAATTGATCAAACGTGAGCTGGAGTAATGATGCTGAAAATTCAGCTTTGACATCATTGGAATACATTACATTTTAAAGTATATTAAAATAGAAAACAGTTATTTAAAATTATAAAATTGAGTACTTTCGATATTATTTATCAAAATAAACGCAGTCTTGGTGAGCATAAGACAATTTTATCACTTTTTCCTAATATATATTTTTACATACTGTACTCAAAAGTACATACTTGTAATGTGAATGTGGGATTTAGGAAGTGTGTGAAATGGGATTTAGCCACTCACTCCATAAACCATCTTTATGAGAAGACATTCCAATGCGAGTCTGTTTTGTGATTTTGTGTTTCAACATGTCATTCAAACATGACCCCATCTGTGCTTATTAGAGCAAACTACAAACACATTTAACTTGCATCGCCTTTAGTGATTTTCCCATGAAGGAAGTGCTCTAGTATTCTTTAAGGTTTATAACACGTTTAATAGGCGAGGAAATTGCCGTCCACATGTCACACCAGAGGGAAAACAATTCTCTTTAAGACAAAATACACAACTACTATCTGCAGCTCTCTAGCATTAAACACAGAAAACAAACATTTATTTGACTTGTGCGATATTACAGTCCAACAAAAGACTCCAAGGATTGCAGTTAATAAATATTTTGTAACTAAATATCAGTCCACTTTGAGTTTTCACAAAGTCTTCTGAGGTGTTTTTAGCACTTCCAATCCTGCAGGGGGCAGCAGCTTTACCTGTGTATCTACACACAGAGACAAAAGGTCTCATTTCAGAACTCTGAATGTTTCTGCATGTTTTAAATGCATTATGAAATCAAAATGGACCATTCCTACTTTTTTAAGGGAATATTTCAGTGTTTTTATAATAAATGATGTTTCCGTGCACATCATTATTATTATTTTAATTAATGTTCCCTTATAAACTTTAATTATAACTTCCCCTTCCTCTTGCAGCAACATCTCCTCTGTTCACTGATGACGTGTTTACTGGCGCCCTACATTTTTTCTTGATACTTTTTTTACTTTTTCGGAATGGTGTATGCAAGCACACTTGTGATCTTAAAAAGAATGGGAAATGTCTGAAAAAAGCAGAAGTCTTTGAAAATGTCTAAATATATAACCAAATGCAAAACCTAGCAAAAGTAATTATTTCTAAAAATATAATTATAAGCAACTATTTTCTTTATAATGTACAGGTGAAAATTATCTACACTGAAAAAAGTGTCTACTTTGAAATTTTCTGTTTAAAGGTACAATATGCAGGATTTTTGCAGTAAAATATCCAAAAAACACTAGGCCAATGTTTTATATTTTGTTTAGTTGATTACAACTATTTGTAAATTGTAAGAAAATTGTGATTTTAACCAAGGAAATGGGGCGTGTGAGCAGAAGTGAGGAGTTGCCCGTCAATGACGTCATATCCTCGTTAACCCCGGTTTCCGACCTCGTATGCGATAGTAACCATGGCAACAGACGTGGACAACTGGGTCGGCTATTTCCGTTATGCGTGCTCAACAGCGTGAGCGTCCCTAGCAGGGTTTTGTTCAAACATTATGGCCCAAAGCAAGCAGACTTTGAGACAAAAAGAGGACTAAAACGAAGATCAACATCTTTCGAGATGCCGAGAGCTCCACGTCCGCAACTAACTTCGACTTGACAGAGACGCGAGTGTTGCATGTTACTTTATTAGACAGGTGAGCAAATCAATGTTATGTAGTTCAACATGATGAAAATTTAGAATATGATCTGTATGTTATTCTCTAATGTTAATCTAGCTTAGTCTCATTCAGCCAACAAACAACCTAACTAACATTTAACACACTCAAATGCCATTAAGTGTGATAGTGAAACTGTTAAAGCAAGTGAAACAGTGCTGCGTTACCTCAAGTTTAATTCCTTTAATAAACTGACCTGTGTGAGTAATTCAGCATGTAGTTCGGTAGAATTAAATGTCCTTATTCCTTTATATCCGCGGGACTCGCGATGTGTGTGGCACTGGTATACGTCTAGCAATCGCGCCCTGCTTCATACTACAGTCATGTTAAAAACATCACTGTATTCACTCAGTGATTCACACACTGTATGCGGAATATACGTCATTAATACACGCCTTCGTTATTGTAAGAGGTTAGCGACCCCTGGTGGCGAAAAAATCTTGCATAATGTACCTTTAATAGTGTTACTTGCCGCTTTTGTTAGTGAAATAGCCTGAGTGAAAACTTTTTTTCAGTGAAATGAAATCTCTTCAAAATACAAAATATTAAAGAATAAATATTCCTGAAACAAAACAGTACAAACATTTCAATAAAATTAACCCTTTTAGTGAGGAATACCAGAGGGTTAAATACGTGTTGTCCGTTTGACGGAGTGGTTTTCAAATGCCCGTCCTACTGTCATAACAGCCCTTTGCTCTTCACATGTAGGATTTTATCACAAACAGAATCATAACGACACAACGCTAAGACAGACTGAAGGGGGAGATTAGTCATGTCGTGTGTTCCAAAGCTTCAACCTTGCCAACTGATCAACAGAGTAATCAGCCTATGCAATAACCATAGAAGCAATCCAACGGGCTCTCATCCAGATTACACCACAGCGTATCATAATGAAGTTTAGATGTTGTGCAAGAGGAAAATTAAAGATAATGTGATATATAGATAAACAACCATTTGACAGTTATTCCACCCCTCTGTTGCTTTGAGACTACTGGGCTCTAAGAAAGCATCTATAAGGAGATTGTGAGATTGCATTTCTTGGTATTGCTAGATTATGTGGGTAAACTGGCATTAGGATAAGCAGGAAGCTCTTATAGGTGAACTAAATAGGCGAATTAAAAATGTTAAACTGAGTGACCAGGTGGACTGAAAATTTTCTGCCATTGTTTCACAACAATAAACTGAAAAGGAAATGATCTCAAGACAAATGCTGATGCCCGAGTATACTAGCAAATAATACATCTTATACATTAATTTCATACCAAAAAATATACTCCCAAACAATAAGCGATGACCATAAAATATTCAAATGACGAAGCATGTTTCTATGCCGCTAGATTGTCAGGTAGCGAACAGTATACAAACTAGGGATGGGACAATAACCGGTTTCACTATAAACCGTGATAAAATGTACTGACGGTTAGTATTATCGTTTAAAAAATTATTTATCATTAAAACCGTGTTTGATTATCGCGATTTTAATAACTCACTGAATCCTGTCGGCCAGTCTGACGCAGGCGCGCAGCACGCAATATTTTTTTAAATTACTATTCGAGAAGGAATGGCGGAAGGCAGTGAGGAGCTCAGGAGGTTTTTCAGCCTTTTAAGAGGACCAAATCTGAGGTGTGGTCATATTTTGGGTTTTACAAAAGTCCTGAGGGAAACTTGATCGAGGATGGTCACCCTGTCTGCCGAACAAAAAGTCACTACAATAGAAACACTTCAAATCTGCTGAGTCGTCTTGTGTGATCATCACCCGAACGCAAGGTAAGTTAACGTTGACCTCAATACCAAAACTACGTCTGGGAAACAATTGGGCACGAAATGTTGTTTTGAGTTGAAACATTTTATGTCACTCACTTGAAATAGACGTCAAGCTTCCGCGAAGAAAAGTTCGTAGCTTTGAGCCAAAGACTATTATTAAGAGAGATATTTTAAGGGATAGTAAAGTATAGATACATCACGTATTAAACCGATTTTATTTTTACCACATAATTACGGGGACATATTGAATTGATAATGAGATTAGCAAATGTTTTAAATCTTACCTGTTTATGAATTCATTTTGTAAAACAATCGTCCAGACAAGATATATCACACCAATATTATCAAACTATGTAAAAAATAAATCAACTCTGATTTCATTTTTGCAATACAATCAAAAACCGGAGACGCAAGACGGCAAGTTGTATTTGAATGAAACAAGAGCGCGCGTCCGTTGTGAATGTTATGGATGTGCGCTGTGTGTGTTGCTATTGACGACGGGCATTATAAAGAAGCAAATGCCATAGAATAGAATCTTGCTTAAAAAACTGCATAGAGAGACTTGTTTTATTTGTTGTTTGTTGATTTTCAATTATAAAATAAAATGAAATGTTTTCAGTGTGAGCATCAGTTCTTTTTGAGCACTTTCATACATTTTTAACAAAAACCATGATAATATTGATAATCACGATTATTTTGGACACTATAATCGTGATATGAAATTTTCATACCGTCCCATCCCTAATACAAACAGTACAAAATCAACTTTCTCCAACACTCTTGACAATGGCACATGAGAAGGCTATGAAAAAAATTATTTAATGAGTTAAAGGAGTAGTTCACTTTTAAAAAAAACTTTTGCTGATAATTTACTCACCCCCATATCATCCAAGATGTCCACGTCTTTCTTTCTTCAGTCGAAAACAAACGGTTCAAGGTCCAAATGACAGTTTCAGTGCAGCTTCAAAGGGCTTTAAACGACACCAAACAATGAATAAGGGTCTTATCAAGCGAAACGATCGGCCATTTCAAAAATAAATGACAAAGTTTAAGTTTTATAAGCACATATGCTCGTCTTGCTCTGTTCTGTGATGCGCGTTCGTGACTCTCCTGTTCGAACTCGTTCATCAAAATGAACAATCTTTTTTCAAATCCTTTGGTTCATTCAACGAACGAAATGAACGAAATGACTCGGAAAAAGATTTGTTCATTTTCATTCGCTGGTGTCGTTTAAAGCCCTTTGAAGCTGCACTGAAACTCTCATTTGGACCTTGAACCGTTTGGTTCCCAATGAAGTCCATTATATGGAGAAAAATCCTGGAATGTTTTCATCAAAAACCTTAATCGACTGAAGAAAGAAAGGTGTGGACATCTTGGATGACATGGGGGTGAGTAAATTATCAGCAAAAGTGAACTTATTTTTTAAAGTGAACTAATCCTTTAATGATGTCTAAAATAACATCATATACAAGCCAGAAAAACTCTCTGTGATGCCAACTGTCATAAAACTATAACCTTGCTCTTGTTACTTCTATTTAAATTTTGGTGGTTTAAAAGAAAAAAAGACTGACTGACTTAAAAAGAAAAATAATCTTAAGTAAAGCATCAGATCGAGGACAATCTATGGCAAGAGAGAAAGTCGGCTTTGTACAGCTAGACCTCAAGGTTGGTCAAATGAGAACTGTTGTCTGATTCTTATGTGGTTTTCGCAACTTCCCTAATATCTCAAGTGTCATTCTATTAAAAAAGAGAACTGAAAGAAGAAATTTTGGACAGCTGCAGCTCAACAATACCTCGTTAGCAAGTCAACGTCACTTGGCCAACACTAGAATGACGTGTGTGGAGCGTCTCTAACTCACCATGGTCTTACATTTAGGGTCACCATCAGGGTCGGTGAGTTTGCCCCCATAGTACACTGGGAGCTCCTCGGGGTCGATGTATTTCTGTAACAACTCCTTCCAGTTTGCTGAGGAGACAGACACAGAAGCTTAATCACGGAAAACTTGAAGAGGAAATGGATTTGTGAGTAAACATCTGGATGACAGCTGAAGACCCCCGATTTACAGTGTTTTTTATTCTTTGCTTAGGGGTAAAAAGAAGTTTGAAATTCATGACCAGCAGTATACTGTTAAGAAACATCCCAATGAAATCTGAATATTCAAATCTGTGAATATGTAAATTAATATGTAAATATGAGTATATAAATATGAATAGGTAAATATGTGCTACACGCTAACCTCTTAATAACAGCGGTGAGGAAACAGCAGCTAACAAAGCATCTGATCATAGTCATGTGGATACGTTCTCACCAGTTCTGCAATTCAGCACTTCCGTCAAGTCACGTTTATTCATATATCAAGAAAGTTGACAGGCAAGCCGTTTCAAACTGACGTTCAAAATGACGTTACACCGGTTTGTTTGATTTCACTTGAAGTATATTTTTGTATCAACATCTATGTATCATATTAACAACATCTAATGTATGGTATTTGAGAAGCTTTCCACCTGAATACATGATTTAAATACAACTGAATTATTCAAAATTATTGCCTGATTAAGATGAGACTTTCTCTGAGCAAGTGCAATCTCAGAAAAAAAGGTACAAATGTTGTCACTGGGGCTGTACCTTTTCAAATGGTACACTTTCTTACCTTAGTGGTACATATTAGCACCTAAAATGTACAAGTAAAATGTACATATTAGTACCTAAAATGTACATATTAACACCTAAAATGTACATATTAGTACCTAAAATGTACATATTAACACCTAAAATGTACATATTAACACCTAAAATGTACATATTAACACCTAAACTGTACATATTAACACCTAAAATGTACATATTAACACCTAAACTGTATATATTAACACCTAATATGTACATATTAGTACCTAAAATGAACATATTAACACCGAAACACATAAAATCTACATATTAGTCCCTAAAATTTACATATTAAGACCTAAAATTCACATATTAATACCTAAAATGTACATATTAACACCTAAAATCCACATATTAGTACCTAAAATGTACATATTAACACCTAAAATGTACATATTAGCACCTAAAATGTACATATTAACACCTAAAATGTACATATTGGTACCTAAAATGTACATATTTACACCTAAAATGTACATATTAACACCTAAAATGTACATATTAACACCTAAACGACTAAAATGTACATATTAGTACCTAAAATGTACATATTAACACCTAAAATTCACATTAGTACCTAAAATGTACCTATTAACACTTAAAATGTACATATTAGCACCTAAAACGTAAATATTAACACCTAAAATGTACATATTAGTACCTAAAATGTACATATTTACACCTAAAATGTACATATTTACACCTAAAATGTACAAAAGTGTACCTTTTGAAAAGGTACAGCCCCAGTGACAGCTTTTGTACCTTTTTTTCTGAGAGTGTGTTATGAAAGCAATAGCAACAGATGAATTGTATAGAAAACATTAGTGTTAGCTTACAGCCCAGTACGATGACCTTACGGCGAGTGTCCTCACTCAAAAAATGTTTCACCAGATTGTAAGCCACAGGAAACAGTTTGGGAGCTGCAACAGAAACAGTGCAGAGATTCAGATATTAAAAGTGGTGCATCACAGTGGCACGACACAATAATGTATTGCTTGCTAAGGGCCCTATGAAATACTTTTTATTTTTCTTAAATTCCATTTTCTTTCTTTCTTTCTTTTATAATGTTTATGGGATTCCGTTTTAAGGGTTTGATTAAAATTTTAGTCATCAAAAATATTGCCTAATCAATTGAATTCATTAAAATAAAATTTCCGATTTATAATAAAACATGAAATGCGTTTTATTTGTCTGTTTATATGGTAAAACTTTACAATAAGGTTTCATTTGTTAACACATTAGTTAACATGAACAACAAACCAAACTTCTACAGCATTTATTAATTTTAGGTAATCTAAATCTCAGGATTTACTAATACATTTTTAAGATCAAAAGTTGAACATCATCAAATAATGTTCTGTGTACTAACATGAACCTGATTTTTTTTTAACTAACATTAACAAAGGTTAATAAATGCTGTATAATTATATTGCTCATTGATAGCTCTTGTTAGTTAACTAATGTACACAAATGAGACCTTATTGTAAAACATTACCAATAAAATTTTTCCAGAACAATTTGTCATCAAAAATGGTGGTTGGTTATCAAATAAATGTATTTTAACATTTAAAACAAATAAAAAAATGTAACAAAATGAAATTTGAACCATCCCGGAACAAAGTGCTAAAAAATTTTACTGTTTAAATTAAAACATGGACGAAAAATTGTGATATTTGATTAAGTGTACAGCCCTAGTTTTTAATTATTCATCCAAATGTTGTAATATCCTGTGAAATTCTGCGTTTTTGTTACAGTAAATCCATTATTTTGACTGGATTCTGTCTGTGTTTCCTGCATCACGCAAATTATAGGGCCCTACTTACTAAAAAACTTTTGCCACTGTTCAATTTGTTTAATGTTATATGCTTTATATGCCAGTCAGATGAGTTATAAAACTACTACTGACCTTTAATGACAAATAACCTCTTGAGTCCCTCTGGATAGTTGTCTTCAAACATGGTGAGAATCTATGAAGAAGAAAAAAATGAGACCACAGCAGTCTAACGTACCTGAAAGAGCCAAGCAACATATTAATAATCGAGAAACAAATAAAAAAACACACCTCTCCATAAGTCTCTATAGCCGGCTTATATAAGTGCTTCATTCCCAGACCGTCACAGTCATAGACCATAGTAATGGACTCAATGTTCCTACCCAACTGAGAGAAAAGAACAAGAAACAGACATGATATGAGTGATTATAACCACAGGACCAGTTGTATAAACTGTTAAGGCTGAGTCTTAAGAACTAGTCTTACCGACTTGCCCTTCGCCAAGGTATAACCAGCCTTACTTTTCAGATTCCAACTAGACCAATCTACATTTTTATGTAACGACTTAAAAAGTTAAGAGCAGTCTTAAGGAAAATACTGATTAACTATTCTTGAGTGAGAACGCAAAAGTTTTCTCAGTGTATCGAAATGTATACTCCAGCCTTAAAAATGAAAAATCAGTTTTTATTTCCTCACCCTTGTGGAACACAAAATTATATATATTTTTTTCCACGAATATTCATGCTATTTCAAAAAGCACTGCAGAAACCTTAGATTATAGTGCACAGGACAAATGCACTACATGGTTTTTGATCTTTTTTTAAGAGCTTCATTCACTTTATGTATGGTATTTCATAAGACTTCAAAATGAAGAATGAAAATATGTAAGGGTGACAGAATTGTCATGTTTGGGTGAACTGTTCCTTGCCAGTTTTCACAGCCGCATACCCACCCGTTTGGACTGTAAGTCGCACTCTTTCTGCAGAACCTCGCAGTCTCTGACTTTAGACTTGATTAAGTCCTGCTTAGACGCTGAATGCATCAAACCCTTAGGGTCCATGGGTCCGACGACATCATACCACACCGGGCTCCCTTCACGGTCATGGCCACACATGCCACCAGACAGATACTTCTCTATTACCTTGAAAACACACACACAGGATAAAACGTGAACACAGTACCAATATATATAAATGTATATATATTTTTTCAATTCATATTATTTTAATTTAATTTTTATTATTATTATATTTTCTTTTATATATTTTTATTTTACTTATTTATTTTTATTTCTATTTATTTTTATTTATTTTAGTTTTTTCTATTGCATTGAGTAGCGAGATCAGGTAAGGGATTAATAATGGACAATATTTTACTGTCTACTGTTGTTGTTGTGTTATTTTGTACTGTCATTGAAAACCAATAAAAACATTTGAAGTAAAAGTAAATAGTAAGATTAAACGCCCATGGAAAACACGAGAAATGAACAGTACTATGCACATATATTCAACATCAACATTGCAAAAATCCTTTCCCACTTTTTGCACAATATTTACCGGAACTAAACTACAAATAAGGATAATTAAGAAATGCTTATGGTTATAATGAGCATGAGCAGGTCAGCCAATTATAATAGAGGTCAAAGGCATAGAAGTCTTAAAGGCACAGTAGCAATAACCACCTGTTTAATTGTAAGCGACAGAAAGAAGGGAAACAATTGCATAATTATGACTGTTTTGATCCAATATTATAAATTGACTTCAGGGGGGGGGGGATGTAACGCTAGTGAAGAATATGGCCCTTTTCATGAATTAATACGTATATGAAAACATCAATTCCAAACAGCACCTTTTTATCAATGACAAACTCTTAAATTGAATAAAATAACAAATATCTAATATTACAAATTAACTGATGTTGAAAATTCAGCTTTGCAATCACAGGAATAAATTATATTTTAAAATATATTCAAATCAGTTATTATTATTAATATAATATATTAATATATAATAAAGAAAGAAATATTTTAAATTGAAATAATTTTTCACAATGCTACTGTTTTTGATCGAATAAATGCAGCCTTAGTGAACATAACCTTCTGATCCAACACTAAAAAGTAGTGCAAATATATTTAAACTAAACTATGAAACAGATAAGTATTTTTATCATGAATCGAAGGTGTCGTACCTCTGGCACCTGCCATTCTGTAGTGATGGTGTCAACTTTCAAGTTTTTCCGAAATTCCACGTGCTGCAGATGGAAAACACATGATTAAAACCATACCAATGTATTTGCATAATCAAATCAGGATTCATCAGCATAGCAAAGTTTGACAGCATTATCAGTTCTGCTTGAATCTAATTTGCCATAATTATTATTAGTTACAGCTGTGCTTTGACCTGAGGTTTAACGGATACTGGTGACAGAGTTCAAAGATATAACATGGCGGCCAAAAACGTCTGTAATAAAAGACCCATGCATCACTCGCACAATGGGGAAGCAAACAGCACTTTGAACACCCAATAGCATTGAATGATCATGGTGTAATCATCCATAAGCTGTGATTAGGCAACGATGTGACTCATCAGTGCAATGTAGGCTCCTGAAATGAACCCTCTGCAGAGCTGCATGAATACTTTTGTTATGATCATGCATTCAAATAAAACCTTTTAAACTGCACGGTCAGACAAAATAAATAAATCTGAAATAGAACATTGCCTATCTATCTTATTTTTAACGTAAGAGCAGCCGTGGCCTTTTGTAAGTTGATTTTGAATGGCCTCCGGTGTCATTTATCTGTACAAAAACAGCGCATTTTGCAGCTTGATATTACAATTGGACCAAATGTAAGCATTTTCTTTTTGGTCCGGACTTACATAACCAAGGGTATTATAAGTGTGAACCCTTAGAGCAACAAAGTACAATTTTATAATAAAAATTGTCTAGTTTACATCTGGCATTAAATGGATAAAAACTCTAAATCAGGCCCAAAACATTTACACCACATTTGGAGGACTTCAGCTTGTGACTCCAACATGAGACTTTAAAAGATATTAAATAACTAATTATTATTTTTCAACAGTTTGGCATCGTGAGCGATGTATATTAGTTACGAAATCAGCGATCCTCCCCTTGAAATCTGATCACAAGTGTTCCACCAGGTGCAAACAGGGCCTAATATTAGTCGGATCATATTTCATAGTGTTATTCAACATGTCGTTTGAAGCCTTTGGGTAATGTACACCAACCCCTGACATAAAGTCTGGCATTGTGAGGGTCCGTCACACCCATATACATCATCACTCGGGATGAATCCAGAGATGACGAATTTACCAAAGGATAATTAATTACACAGCGCATTATTCTGGATTGTGTAAATGTGAAGTTTAAAGCACAGAGTTAATGACACCAAGAACTTGTTTATATGCTGAATTAATAGTAATATGATGATTTCCACTACCGGTCAAAAGTTTGGGGTCAAATATATATATATATACATATATATATATATATTTAAGAATTGTTACTTTTATTAAGGCATACATTAAATTGAAAAATGTCAGTAAATAAATTTTTAATGTTATAAAAGATTTATATTGCATATAAATGTTGTTCTTTTTAACTTTTTGTTAATCAAAGAATCCTTTAAAAAATACATTTAGCTGCTTAACCATTTTGAACTACTACTACTACTAATAATAATAATAATAAGCAAAAAAAATGGCTTCGCAATCAAAGAAAATGACAAAAAATATATTTATTAAAAAAAATAATGAATAGATTATTATTATATATTTTTATATTATGTATGATACTAATAATATGATAATATGATGATGTATAATATAATATAATATAATATAATATAATATAATATAATATAATATAATATAATATAATATAATATATATAATATAATATAATATAATATAATATATAGATATAATACATTATACATATTATTATTCGGCCTTGGTGAACATGAGAATCTTCAAAAAGAAAATATTACAGATCCCAAACTTTGAATAGTAGCATATATATATATATATATATATATATATATATATATATACTGTATATATATATATATATATATATATATATTAGGGCTGTCAAATGATTAATATAATTCTATATATAAATCTATATACAGTATATACATGAAAATATTTCTTAAATATATACAAGCATGTTTGTGTATTTATATATATAAAATAATTATACACAGTGCACCCACATATATTATGTAAACAAAAACTTTTATTTTGGATGCGATTAATTGTTTGACAGCCCTAATATACAGTATATAATAATTTTTTTTTTTTTTAACACTATGTAGTATTAAGTTTTTGTGCTACCTTGCGCAGCATGGCCTCGGCTTTCTGTAGATTGAAGTTCCTGGCTGGAAAACAAGAGAGACAAGTTGAAAAAAAAAGATGTAATTAGTTAGTCTAGAAAAGATAAAGTATGCCCTAATTTGTCATTTAACAGGTTTTTGTCCAATATGAATATAACTAATTTATTACAGGAAGCTTAAAGGGATAGAAAATACTGTGATCATTTGGTGTTGTTGAACACAAAAGATATTTGAAGAATATTGGTAACCAAAAAGTTGATGGTAGCCATTGACTTCCATTGTAGGAAAAAAATATATACTATGGAAGTTAATGGGTCCAATCAACTGTTTGGTTCCCGACATTCTTCAAAATAACTTGTTCAGCAGGAGAAACAAATTCATAGAGGTCTGGAACAACTTGAGGGTGAATAACAGACAGATTTTTCATTTTTGGGTGAACTATCACCTTAAAAGTGTCTTGCAGGGTTTGAACCAACAAACCTTCAGTTTCCAGCCCCAATATGTAACCACATGGCTAATAAATCCAATAATAAACTGGCACACTCACATTATAAAGAGCACATTGTGCTAACAGACCTTACTCAACATCATAGATAACTTGCACATAACTAGAAGCCATATGCCACAAAAAGTTACTATTTGGTAACAGATTAACTGTTTGCAGACATTAAAAGTTTGCATACATCAGGGGCCTAGGTGACCGCAGGGTGCTGGCCTTCAACATATTCCCATGTAGATAGGCTTTTCCCTCCAACAAAATAAGCCTATCCTCACAAAAGTATTCAACCCAACCCTGTGTAATGAGTGGATTAGTTTCATTGTCTTATAGTCACTCTAGTCTGTACCTGACTGGCCTAGAGACACTGACCCAGAATTAGTCAGACATGGAGTCATACATAAGTATTTAATACTCATAAAGAAGATTATGTGACACAGCTGACAGAAGCATTCAGTGTTTTGTGGAACGGATATGTCAGTTGCGTTCCTATAAAGACTTTTCGTGGTGAACTAGAGTGACTTGTATTTATTTACAATAACAATAATTCCTTCAATAAAATTATATAAGGCTATAATTAATTTAACAATATTTTTATTACCACAAAATATATACCAATTATATAATTCAGTTTGATCAAACGATTCATTTTTATTTCTCATACACAGTTGTTAGGATGATGTAGGTGGTCGATGATGTTGACGTTTTTTTAGAATGTTGATCGTTTGGTTGCCAGGGTGTTCTCGGAGGTTGCTAGGTGTTTGCTTACTGGCACATCCCCAAGTCTCTTGATATCTCTATGATATTCTGATCTCTAGATATGGCTTCAATGTATGTCTCTGAGATTTTCTCGCTCATTTTATTGTCCACAAGGCAATAAGTCTAATCACCTGGAAAATAATAACAGATATCACTCATGATCGTAGCACGAGTGTAGGACCTTAAAAACCTACCTTTGAATGGTAGTGTATGCATTTACTTAAAGTCATGAACTACCTGATCACTTGATGTTATACTGTAGTAAACTGCACTCATATCGCATCACTGCAGACCTCAATAACTTGTGTCATAATCGAGTGTTTATCTTATCGACACTTGCGACATGCCTTTATTAAGGAAATAGATTGACAACACTGGTATGTAGAACTATGAATAACCCCAAATGATTTAGAGGAAAAACATGCATTGTCATGATATGTGACACTCTTGAGCTTCCACCATGCATTCTAGCCTCTTGATGAAGTCATTTTTTACATGCTAATTAATAGGGCTGGGTATTGACTAGGGTTGGGTATCGAGAATCGAGTATCGATTGGAACCGAGACTAACTTTTCGTTTTTCCCGGAATCGTTCAAAAGTTAAAGATTCGATTCCTAGTTTCGATATTCACAGTTCGCCGAGCGGAAGAAGAAACCGCTGAACAACACCAACGAAGAAGCGTCTACCGGAAGTGTTGGCATAACCACGCGAGTCGAACATGAGTACCTTACGTCAGCGATCCAAAGTGTGGCTTCACTTTTCTAAAAATAACGAAATCTCGGCAAAATGCAAAATTTGTGTATTTTTACAGGAGTATTTCCTTCAGAAAGGATTATTTTCTTCAGAAAAGCCGTTGGTTAGCTTAACTTTTTTGACCCTGCCTCTTAAAAGAATCGGAATCGAGAATCGTTAGGAACCGGAATCGAAACAAGGAATCGGAATCGGAATCAGAATCGTTCAAATTCAAACGATACCCAACCCTAGTATTGACACAAATTTCACAATTCAATTCGATTTCGATTCACAAGCTTGCAATTCGATTCGATTTCAATTCCAATTCGATTCGATTCAATATTGATTATTTTGGATATCAGTTACAATAAATGGCAAATTTTCTCAAGGAAATCAGATCTCTTAACTAATGCTGTAAACTATGGGAGTCTAGTTGTAGCCTATAGACTTCATTAGCCTAATATGAAGGAAATAATGAACTTTTTTGTAGCTATACAAACACTTAAATTACACTTTTATTTATTTTTTTAATAAGAAGATTATATGAAATATAAACATTTAAATGGTGGCTGTCATAAAAACTTGCCAGATTTATTCAAATATTCATTAATTATTGAAGAACATTAAGATCATAGTGCATATGTAATATGGTGTATATATTTAGCAAAATGCTCCTCTCTAGAGTTAATTTTTCTAGCTGACTAACGAGTTTATGTGGGTTTTCTGAGGTAAATATGACGATACATTTCCACGGTTGAAACGCTGATTGAGCGAATGAATTGACATGATACGGATTTGGATTTCGATAAGTTGTACTCTTATCTTTAAATACACTTTCAGATGCTCATTCATGTTTATTTCGCGCGGTAACTGGTAAATTATTAAGCCGGAAGAGAGATCAGCGCTGCTGCTTCTCTGGAGCTGCGCCAGAGCGATCTCACGCCACAGCGCCAAAACGTTATTTATGTTTTTGAATTTCTAAAGAAAATGGACGTAATTTGAAAATTGAGACTTTGTTTCATATTAATAGTAACAAAGGACAAAGATTATTGCGATTTTTTTGGAATGCGCGCAGCTGCGATAAAATGTTCCATTCATTCAAATGAAACAGTATGACTAATCGATTCTTGAGATTTAAGAATCGATATCGGTTCAGAAAAATGAGAATCGATTAATATCGAGAAATCGATATTTATTACCCAGCCCTACTAATTAAACAATGACATCAGTAATCTCGTGTAATATCTGCGCTGCTAGTCTCTGTCTGGTGCCTAACAATCTCTGCAGAAGACTGGCTGCATTCAGCAGCGCTCATGCATACAAATCAGCCTTTGTCAAAACCCAAGAACAAGAACAGCCTCTGGAAAGCTGCCAGAGAGGGGTTTGAACGCCACTCTGGAGGGTCAAATTAAAGTTTACAAAACATTTACATTTATACATCTGGCATCTGACACTTTATCCAAAGCAACTAACAACAGAGGAACAAAAGAGAAAATCAGAAGAACTTAAATAAAAGGCCTCTATGTAGAATTATTAGCGATATAACTCTTGTTATTACCGGTGGCCGTTAAGTGAACTGCAGCCAGAAAATTAATTTTTTGTTCTTCACTTTAAAGAAGAGCTGGGCAATGAATAATCGCATCCAAAATAAAAGTTTGTGTTTATATAAGATATGTGTGTGTACTGTGTATAATTTTTTTAATATATATATATATATATATATATATATATATATATATATAAATACACACACGTGCATGAATATATATATATATATTAAGCAATATAATGTTAATTAACATCCAGTCGCCGTCCCGCTGCTAAGAGTGACGTTTAGATAAATATGCATTTGCTGAGTGCTTTTCTCTTAAAAGGGGGGGTGTAATGCCCATTGTTTTTACAAGATGTAAAATAAGTCTTTGATGTCCCCAGAGTGTGTATGTGAAGTTATAGCTCAAAATATCCCACAGATATTTTTATATAGCCTATTAAAATTGTCACTTTTTGAGGGTGAGCAAAAACGCACCGTTTTTGTGTCTGTCCCTTTAAATGCAAATGAGCTGCTGCTCCTAGCACAGGGGGAGGAGCTACAACAGTTTGTGTGCTTTTACCTCACACAGACATGCACTTAAAATTTCAATGTTTATGTTCAAACAGGAGTCAGACAATAATGGAGACTCAAGAAGTGACAACATGTACAATGCAACAGGACATTTCTGAACGCTTAGTTGATGAATTTAGGTAGCTTATCTTTTAGTCATTGATTAGCATATTCTGTCATGATAATCTATAAATCGCATTGCAGGGGGTGGGGTTTATGTAAATTCTAGGGTTGTGATGTCACTAACCCGTGGGGAATGTCGTGTAGTCCCTACCAGCCGTTTGTTGTAGTCCTTAAAAAACGATTTCTTTAAAAGCAAATATCTTCCTGTGCTTTAAACTTTGAGCTTCGTAACTTTGCAGAAGTTGTTTATGCTCAAACAGCAACATTACACACTAACTAAAATTAAAAAAGTGAAATCATAATCAACCACCCCTTAAATAACAAATTAACTAACAAAAATGGCCGCAGTGAGAAAGCAGTAGTCAGGAAACACCTGATAGTGATGTATGTTTGCAACAGGTTTTGCAATTCACTGTCATCATGTCGACAGATGAGGTCATTAAAATTACACTGTCGTGACATTTGATTATAAAGTAGGCCTATATCTAAAACTACAGACCATATAGATCTGGCTATGTGGGGCCCTTTTCTTTTCAGGACATTGACATTTCATTACAGAATAGCTCTTTCGGCATTATCCTGAACAATGTGTCATAGAACGGAAGAGAGGCACGTAAATGTCACATCTATTTAATTTTCCAAGGAAAAATGTCCCAAACTCTTCACATAAAACAGAACACCGAAGGAAGTCTGAGAAGGTTTCGTTTTTGTAATACGTTTATGTTAGTAAATAAAATAGCCATAAAGATTTTAAATAATTGAATGAACAAATACATAGAACATTTCTAACCAGAATAATACACAAAGGCATAATCTATAATCTAGCCTATTGTGCGAGTTCCAGTCTTGATTCATACGGTCATATCAGAACATATCATGTCTTTCCAGAATCCTTCACAAAACCTATTATTCTATTCTTAGAATAGAGATAGATTCCAAAATAGATTATATTCTATAGACTGTCTCTTTAAATAAGATTCCATCTAAATAAATTCATACTTCGTGGTCATTCTATAATATTGTATTAAAACAGGTGGTATGCTAAATTTGTATGTTTTCGGTACGATCATTCACAATTGAGTTCCATTGTTGGTATCAGTTTAGAAGATTCTTTTTAACAGTTTTTATTATAGTTTAATAGTGTCAAAAATAGTTTGTAATGCTACGTGATTTTATTCTATAGATGGCATCATTCTAAAATATTTTAATAATAAGATTAGATTCCATAGATCACAATATCTGGACTTGCAACTGTTCTCTAAATAGCAAAATGCATTTCTATATATTAAAATAGGATAGATGGATTTATCTCTCTCTAGCTCAACATTAAGAACTTAAGCAGGACATTAGTAGCCTATATCTAACCTACTTCAATTTTGCATCACGAATGTGACAGTTACAGTAGCTCACCTCTCAGCCATCGGAGCAGAAATTGGTCAGTCTGGGATGGACACTGTGGCAGAATATCCTGAACCTTTTCTCGAAACTGGGGAGTACAGATGAACAATTATGCACAGTCAACAGTATGAAGTTGCACATAGCTGGAAAACTACATCTCCTCACGTGCTGACATTGACAACAGTGCAAACTTGCGTAGTCACGTCACTTACACAACTCGGCAAGAGAGGGAAAACTAAAACAGCTTAAACACTTTGTACTCTTACAAAAGTCGATTCATTCTGCATTCAAAACGAATGTATTTTCATCTGCGATGTGTGGCCTCTCTCTCTCTGCTCAGGAGAATGTTTCACCCCGGCATCAACAGGATCCCTCCACAAATAAATCCCCGAGATACTCCTGATAGAAAAAAGGGAAATAATTCACCTGGGCCAAAGCTTCGGCTTGTTTCACGCTGAGGTCTCCAACTCTTCCGCTCATGTCGCCACGAGTACACCAGAAATAACTGTCTAAAATGCAGCTAGAGTCAGAGACTGAGTCTGAGAGGCTCAAGCACAGAGTGATGTTTTCGTCCCCGCCCACCTGTTACGCGGCCTCTGCACCGCTAGGGGGCGCAGCGGTGATTCAAATCGTGCATAATCATATCACATAATAAATAATAATTAAAAACAGTGATCATATGTGATAATTTGTTACATATATAGTAATGGAAGAAACACAATAGTTTTTACATATAAAAATATATATGTATTTTTATTTTGCATTGAATACATTTGATAAAAAGGTACAAAAGTTGCATTTCACAAAACATTTATAAAATGTATAAAAAACAAAAGAAAAATAATTACATCTTCACAGCTATTTACAAATAAATATCACATTTTATTTGATACATAATTTTCCTTTTCTATCTCTTGCTCTCTCATAATCAAGCACTGTTCCATGCCTGTCGGATTTGTCTCCACGGCGTTCCTAAAACAGACGCAGCGATGAAGAAGAACACTAGAATGAGACCCTTAGCCAGAGCCTGGGAATATGGCTCACCTGCCAAAAACAAACACACACACACACAAAAAAAAAACATTAACTTCATATTTTAAGTCCTGGTTTCACAGACAGGGCTTAGACTGAGTCAGGATTAGGCTTTAGTACAATTAGGGCATTTAAGTAGCTTTTATATCCGTGCCATAGATGGTGTGCATTTTGAGACAAAACAATGGCACTGATATGTATGCCGGAGCAAGTTGCTTTCAGTTAAAACAGCTCAATGTATTTTAAACTATCTTGAATCCGGTGGTATGTGTGACGTACGGACAGAGCGGTTGGATCCATGTGCAGCACTTTAATTGAACTTAAACACAAGCAGACATAAACCCAGGCAAACAGTAAAACAAGGGGCAATCCAGTAACTCGTGGTGATAACAGGCTTAGGTCGAGGCAGGCAGCACAGGTTCATAAACAGTCCCGGAGACAGGCAAGGGTCAAGAGTCCAGGAAGATACGGAATACTAGAACAGGGAACAATGCTCATAGATGTACGCTTACAGTGTAACATGACTTCGCACCAGACACAGAGATAACTCAGGCTTAAATCAGGAACTCAATAACCGGTATTCAAACACAGCTGAAACATACAGTAATAATTAAACATAATGAGTCCATAACACAAGGAGAGAGTGCCCTCCAGTGGCTCTCGGGGGCACTACAGCTGCCGATCGTCACAGTATCAGGGATTTAGGTTTAAAGTCCCCGTGAAATCAAAATTGAACCTATTTACTTTGTTAGCGCATATTACTAGTCTTGTGGTGAACAATTAATCCGTGCAAGTGAATATATATATTAAAAAAAAATGTTTTACCTTAGTAATCTTTAATCAAAATCTGAAAAGTTACTTCCGGTCTGGAACGGTTTCTTTTTCTGATGACGTAGGCTTCACAGTTTGGGTGGGGAAACACTTAACCACTCCCCTCAAACCGTTAGTTTGCTATGAGCGAGAGATGGAGAGGAGGAGCGCTAGAGTAAAACCCTGCCCTCTGTTCAATATTCTGTTTCACTTGGAAATACGTCACAACGCACTGGAGAAAAATCGTTTGCAACTTCCGGTTCACGGGGACTTTAAATGTAGGCCTATACATTTTTGTACAAGTGAAACTTTATTTTTTATTTTTAAATCACCTATTTGGAGCTTACTTAAATAGTTCTATAGTGTGACAAAATAAAAGCACAAATAGTCTATCCACAAATATAACAATGGCATAGACAAGAATTTACAAAAATAGATTTAGATGTCACACTGCAAGACACTGCTATTAGTGCTTCACATTTCACACATCACCTTCCTAAATTCACCAAAACATGAGTGATAAGATAGTTAAAAAAATATACAAAGACACATAGTGCCATTTCATATACAAAAATGACATAGTCTATAAAGTGTTGCTGACTCTTAGGCCACCCTTAAAAATATTCTTGTTTGCCGTAACCCGACCGACCCTGTCAATTTAGGGCCGACCCAATTTTTTATTTTTTTTCCCTTTTAGTTCGACCGACTTGCCGGTTGTAACTTGCGTTCAGACCGACCGTTTTTTTTTTTTTTTTTTTTTACTCTTCAAACGACTAATTCAAATTCCATAAAATGATATTTTAGTTAGTATTGTGAAAGTTGCTTATGTCTACAAACGTAGGCTACGTTCTTTCTTTTAAATAAAAACCCGTGGCGTCATAGTCATCTGATTATGTTTGGTTTACCCGTGTCACACTGTCTATAAGGCTTAGCCTATACGTTCGCTTCGTTTCATTCAGTGTTCCCGCTTGGTAAACCCGGTATTAAATGGGCTGAATATCAACCATTTCTATATATAATAATAATATTAAACAATTTGTCTGATGCAATTTTGCTATTCCCACCAGTCCAGAAGAGAGAGAGAGCGATCTCTCACCCGGAGCCACAGCGCGAACAACATGACAGCCCTGCTTAATGAGTGACAATGAGGACAGAACGTGGTTACCTACACTTTAGATCTGGGATATTATTCTAATTGTATTTTATATTTCCGCTTTCAAAGATTATAAAAAGATATTTGAGATGAAACCATTACAGACGCATTCTGTCTATAGCGCAACTTCCTTCCCTTCACAGCGTTGCGCTGTCATTTCTTCCTAAAACCCAAACGTACCGTCAGAATCAGCACGATCGGTAATTGTTGTAAAATGCAGTCTGTACTGTTGCTAAACTGCGTACGGGTTCAATCATTAAAAGAGCTATTAAAGTCTGCGCAAGAGACGCTGTTCACAAGGTGATGCGTCATGCGTGCTCCGAAATGCACTGCAACGGGACAAGAAAAGTAGGCTATAGCCTCATTTTGGGCTTCATGTGCGCAGCTAAACTATCAAATATACATAAAATCTAAAATGACCTGCTCTGAGATTCATTTCACATTTCATTTCAATTCACACAGTTTATGTCTTAAATGGATGTGAATAGTTGGGAGGATATGGTGGTGCATCAGTCATCTGTTAGATCTGCACTCGGTCTTAAAGGGGCAGTAGTCTAATAAACATGTGACGATTGAGCCAGTAATGGGAATCAAACACAACAAAAGGCAGAGAAAAATCACTCGCAGCTCTTGAATTATTAACTTAAACTTTAATAAGCATTAATCTAACTATGATAAACCATGCAGTGTCATTTTACATTTGATTTACTAAATTAAATTTCTTTTCAGACAGCACAACACACTTAACTGAAAAGTAGCTAATTTTAGACCTTTCTGAAATTAAAGCACTGTGTATATAGGCTAATTTGTATCTTTGTTTAATTGTATTCTTTGTTTCACCATGTGTTTGTACTTGTTTTTGCTTATATCTCATGTATTTGGGGAAAAAAAAGCCTGCTGCATAACAAATACAGTAGATATTTATTCATTTTGTGACTGGCCTAAAAACGTAACCGGTTGTAGGTTGCAATAACACCTAGTGGTGGATGCACAGTTTGAAGACCCAGTCAGTGACGTCACAGTATGCAATAAAAAAAAAAAAAAAAAAAAAAAAAAAAAAATCATGATCACCATGACCAAAATTTTACTTTTTTTTTTACACTGAATCCTGGAAAAAAAAAATATAGACCTACCTACCGACCCTTTTTTAAAAAAAAATTGCTGTTACTGCAAACCAAAATATTTTTAAGGATGGCCTTACAACAGGACATGGTTTTCATGGTTATTTCTGTCTTAAGGCCCTTGCACACTTTCACGTCCGAAATTTTCGCACGTTAAAAAATAAATACGACCTCACGTTATGTCAATCACACTTGCACACTGCCTCCAAAACTTTCGTCCGTCATAAAAAAAATCGAATCGGGTTCGATTTTCTGTGTTTTTCACATCTGTAGCAAGCAGTTTGAATGGTGTTTGAATGGTGTTTTGACAATTCAGAGCCACCGAAACACGAATACGTAAAAAAGCATACGGAAATTTCGGACTCAGTGTGCAATGGCCTTTAATCTATAAGAAATGCAAGCCCTCACCAGTGTAGTATCTCGTGAGAGGGAACGCCAGCTCAGGCCAGCACACATCATTTCGGTCACAGTCAAACTCTGTGAAGTTAATACTGAACCTGTAGAAGAAAAGATACTTCAATTCAACTTTACTGAGTTCACAAGACTGCACGACTTGCTTGGAGTTGTGAAATAATGCCATATCCAAGCAACAGATTCAAACCAATAGAAGAAAAACTATTTCTGAAATGTATAACATGCCATTAAGATTCTGGAATATTTGTATTTCAAAACAAATGTTTTATTGTTATTGCACCTTTTATCAGAAAAATAAACATTAAATTGTAAATTTATCTATAATCATCACAATCAATATTAGGACCGACCTGGATCTAGGGGGTTGTGCATTAAGAGGATTGTCAGTAAAGGTCACAGAAGAGGTCACTGGGAAATTCTGCATAAGCTCTGGGTTTACACAGGGGTTCATCCTGCCAATATCACACTCTATCCTCCATGTTGTTTCTATAAAACTGAGAATTGGAAAAAGAATGAATGGCAAACGAAATATTCAACACAGCATGTGCATCTCTAGATACATCAAGCTCAAACATTAATGAAAAGCTTTCGTTTTTGCTATCAGGATAGTGAGATGATAAGAACCTATACCTAATCTCCACTGCCTGGATAACTGTCTTGAGCACACCCTGCACCCTGCCCATGATGACGCTCCAAACGTGGATGTGGAGGTGGGTCGGGACGGCAGAACACTCTCCACCGCTGCCCTCTGCTGGACGACTGTTGTTCTGCAGTGATGCTGAGAGGCACAAGAGCAAGAACATCGTTTACTCATTCATTCAAAGCAGTCGTTCTCAAGCAGGAGCTGGAGCCCACTAGAGAGACTCAGCAAACTTCTGTGGGGGGATATTTAAATTTAGATGTATTAACAATCTTTAAAGGATGGATTAACACACTGGCCAACGGGGAGGCCTTTGTTTTTGAATACTGTCTTGGAAAATGAGCAGTCTTGCAGGCAAAAAGGTTGAGAATCACTGACTTAAAGC